TACACACGAGGCAACGGTCGAAGCAACATGCCCTGATCGCTTCAACGGTTCCCTCGTGTGTGTTCAGCTTTAGATTATACCCAGCAAACACAGTCTCTAACGTTAGAGAAATTTGGATTTCTACATTAGATAACTAGGGTAATTCTCTAATCGTTCTCGAGTCGATGACGAAGTTAGATAATTACATTAGAATTCGATTCGAGAACGATTAGAGAAACAACGCAGATTCAAATAAATGTAAATAAGCAATAATCCAAATGAATTACTTATAAATTATGTTTAAGTTAAAATAATTCATTATTATTTTATTGCAAATACATTTAATACAAATTTTACAAACAAAGCAAGGCGAAACAGCAATTTGAAATTCACACTCGAATCCTATTAGAGATGAACATTGGAATACGATTAGAGAATCAATATTTTCTCGAGTCGAGAACTATGTCCCATTTTTGTTGAGATCGCTATGATTCTCGATAGTTTTTCGAGTCGTTCTCTAACGTTTGAGATTGGAGAATGTGGCTAGTCCTTCAATCATTCTCTAATCGATAACTAACCTCAATGTTTGCCGGGTAGAGGTATACGCCGTCGGGCCACGCCGCCGCCGCCGTTTTTTGTCATTTCTCACGATATTTTCGTAACTCAGCCGCGGCGGCGGCGGCGTTCGGCGCCTAAGGAATTTTGTACAAAATTTTCCTGTTGTATGCACATTGAAATACATCGTTTGAAGGAACTAAAAACTACTCGTATAAAAACACTATTTTACGAAATGAAAATTACATTTTTAAAAGAAGTTTTTTGACAAAATTTGGGCCACTGAACATTTCACAACAAAGCGTAACTCAGAAAAAAACATAGGTAACACGCTTTCGATCGAAAGCGTTTATTACAGTTAAATTAGGGTCGAATACTGGTAAACTGGCGATTTCTTCCGCAGTAGAAAATATTTTTTCCTAAGTAGTGGTCAAACCCCAGGAAGGTTTTGCTCCCGCGCACCGCAATATTTTCTACACAGAGTTGAAGTCCCCCTTTTTGGAAAAAATTACTATTATTTTGCATTACATTCTGTTCTCCTTAGAAAAATTTGGCGCTTAATATATTATTGGAAATTTAACTATGTATAAGCCATTTTNAAGCTTATTGCAAAACTTTATTGATAGCGACATAAATTACCCCAATAACTTAACCTTTAAATTTTTTTATTTCTTTAAATTGAAATAGTACATACGGATTTGTAGAGTACATAGAGATGTATGTATATTAGGGTGCCCATTGAAAATCGTTTTTTTGTACCTTAGTACTACATATTTTCAAATTGTGGAAATTATCGATGGTCAAAATTTAAAAAAATTTTTGAAATTCAAGCAAAAATAGTCACTCAAAAACTCATGAATCTAGAAAATCGTATTTTCTGACCTAAATCGACAGGCCGCGACCTCTAAATGGCCTTTAAAAAATCTATAAAAATAGGCAATAACATTTCTCATAAAAACGAATCAAATTAGGGGGTAGGGTCTTAAAATTTTCAAAAAAAAGCATTTTGGATGGGAAACCTAATATATATACTATATAGACTTTCTTCTGTTCGCCCATCCATCAGCAGCAGTCACTCAACATTTGAATTCAATGAATGAATTAAATATAATCTGATGACATGATAAGATTAGAAGCCTCATGGCTCTTTGGACTCTACCTTATGGGCAGGAGCGCCGGCGTTTCCAGACGCGCCGGCGTCGCCGCCGATTCTTTTTGAAGTTGACCACGCCGCCGCCGCAAAGCCTGTCGGCGTAAACCTCTATTAGATTATCGATCTGTATACCGTTTTTCGAGATCAGGTCATTTTCCCAGGATATTTTAATTTTAGTGAAAATAAAATTCAACCTTTAACAAGGAAAAACTTTGAAAAATAACAAATCTTTTGTATATTTTTTCATTTATATTAAAGCCTGTTCTTTTAGCAAAAAAAAGAAGCTACTAACGGTAAAGATCTATGGATAAATAAACAAGTTGTGAATGGTCAAATGAAAATGTGCAATAATTGTTTGTATGAAATGGGATCTGGAAAAAATGTTACTCATACGCCACATCGTTCACGGCCGAACACGTACATACTCGTGCATGGCGTATGAGTATCATTTTCCATGCAAACTTAAAATGAAAATATCTCGGGAAAAAGACCTGAATTAGAAAAGCTTTATTTGTGTCATTTTATCGTCCCCACTGTGTATTTGAGGTAATGGTGGACAGCCACGCGCCACGCCGCGTCGCGGGATTGCGCAAATGCGGACCGCTGCGTTTGAGCGCCACCAACCTCGCTTCCCCCCTCCATCCGCGCCATTACGCCGGAAAATTTATTTGTTGCTATACTTATATAATTTAAATGCTCTATATGTATGTATGTACGATGAGGAGTTGGTTGGCTGTGTATCCACAGAAATACACAGCAGAAATACTGTGGATGACGCATGGGCTGATTTAACTGAGAAGGCGACTGAAAATTTCACAAACAACACAATACGTTTGGAAAACTTTTTAAAATCAAATGAGTAACGGGGAAAATAACATAATTACGCTGGATGATGATATGTAACCTATCCACCGAAACAGAAGATGCTTCAGCCGACGTTTATTGTAATAACTACATACATATGATTTATTCCGAATTCTTAAATCAATTATGTTTGTTCTTTTATTTGCTTTAATTAAGCTGATGCCAGATAAAAAATTTTAGCTTTGCGTGACATTTATAGCTTTGCCAGCAAAGCGCCAGATGCAAAAGGTTTGCCACAATGCACGCCAAGAAAATAAATTTGTACTGCTTTTTTACTCATCAAAATTACTGTGAATTTTATATATTTTGTTTAAAAATATCAGCAATGTAATTAAGTTTTATGTTTCTACATGAAAACTCAAATTTGGACGAAACAAAATAAATATTTAACAGGCTGATTGTCAAAGCGCGCAAAAAGATGGGAGTTGGCCATCTTTTCGCTTCGCGCTGCAACTTCAACGATCTATGTGGCATGCTTTGTGCATTTTTATACAATTCATCTTATCTGTCAAAGCGAATCTGTCACGTAATGCAAAGCAAACGTTTTATGTGGCATTAGCCTTGAGATGTGCTATTAAGTTCTTGCAATAACTCTATATTTATGTAAATACGAGCAATTTGTGTTCGATTGGCCGTCAAATTATTTCACAATCGACGAAAATATGCGTTTAACTTTTTACTGATATTTTTTCTTGAAACTTTTAATTATTTGATTTTATCACATTACGTATGTATGTATGTATGCACTAAATATATGCATTAAAAATCATTAATTAGAATTTTTTCTTCTAATAAAAGGAAACAAATATTTAGTTTAATCTAATTATTATTAGTTATTAGTTTTGCTTTAGTTTTGGACGCATTCTAAAATGTAAACAAGAGCCTTTTCCTTATTTTAAGAAATTAAGCCCAGCGACAAAAAGAAATAAAGCCCGCGGAAATTATTTCCTTTCCAAAAAAATAAAAAGAAAAGAGCAAGAGAGAGAGAGAGTAACTATGATATTATGGGTCGTTACGTCGCCAAAAATGTTACGTAAAAGCGGCTTAAAAACGCAATATTGATGTTTAATTGGAATAACGCAACCTGTGTGAGAGGTATTCACGAAATTCTTTTTTTTATTCAAGAGGCCCAGTTATGTAGTTAAGTGTGGCACATAATATTACTCAAATGTCCGCCGCGGCTCATCTCGTTGAACATATCAGGATAAAGATGAGCCATGACCTAGGTTATCTTAGCTGAGTACCAGTAGCTGAATACCAGAAAACAGCTAAGATAGACGCTGCCAAAATCAACATGACCGCCATAGAATGTGAACAATGATCCGTCCCAATTGAAACACCATTCGTTTTCGAAAAATGGCTTAGGTGTACTTTTGTAAAACACTGCCCATTCTTTGAGATGAAGGGAATGGTGGTTTCGTCGCGATTTTTCGAAAAAATTAAAAAAATCGAAGCAAAAATTTTTGTACAAGGTTGGTTCAGTGTCATGAGTAGAGGTTTAAAGTGTACGTCAAGATATATCAGAGAGGCTTTCAAAATGACCATTGGTCAAGGAACTACGTTAATCATTTTAAAAAGTTAGCGACGCAAACCACACTGAAAGTTTAAGAACTATTTACGTTTACAAAAAACAATGGGGTATGCATAGTCATGGAATGGTGAGCTCAGTTAATCGATCGCGGTCCCCCAGATGTTATGAGAAAAATATGAAATTATTGTTACGAGAATTTTAATTCCATCAAAATATATTTTCGGATTTTTTCAAGAAATAGCTAAAACCCTGACTGGTTTTTTTGTGTTGTTACCTACAGTAGGCAACTTCGTATGCTTACGCTTTTGCTGTCTTTCTCATGCCATTGCCAACTATTGCTACTATTTTTCCACAAATCTGGTACTTTTTTTGCTCTCGTAAATATCATTGCTCACTGGTCTCCAGTGAGGTCAAATTTTCTCAACGCTGAGTGTGGGTAAAGCAAACAACAATCGCTTGGTGATAACGTGTTTTTTGTAACTGTAGAAAAGCTAAATACAATACAAACGTAGCGGCACACTGTTAAATGAGAACTTTGTACTGCGCATGACCGGCTATTTGGGAGTGGCAGTGAGCTTTCAAGAAACCGCTAAAGCGAAATTACAAAAGCCAACGAGTTTTGTTGAGAAGCGAAGAGAGCAGATAATAAAACCTGAATGCAATTAATAATTGTGAGAACCTGTTGAGAGATAGTGAGTTGTTAAAGAGTTGTCGGCGCACTTGTTGAAAGCGGCAACAAAAGCAGCAACAATAATCAGAATATGAATGCATCGGCGGCATAAAGTGGTCAAAGGAAAATGGCAACACTAATTTAGTAGTAGCAATTTTTTATTATTGTTGTTTGCTTGTTATTGTATCATAAATTTTTTCTCAATTATTTTTGTCGTTTGCTACACAAAACTCAACCGCTGCCGAAGATGTTTTTATCGTCGTCGTTGGTGTCGTTGTCGTTGCCGTTGGTGTGTGGCATGCGACGATGACTATGGGAGAATCCACCGCCGCAGCCGCTCGACACTATCGCATTGGAAGCATTCAAAGCCGCCGTTGCCACCACTACCACTACTACTACTACCAACGCAGCATTGTGGCGAATGTTTATAGATTTTCAGTCGAATTTTGTTATTTCACGTACAAAGTGGCGCGCGCGGGCCGCCGCTATAACAAATCAAATCGAGTGAAAAAATTGTGCCGAAAATCGTAGTAACAATAAAAAAATTAAAAAAATAACACACACACAAAATACATATATCAAAGCAGTGAATTTACCGTGTGAGCAACGTGTAAGGTGGAGCGTGGAGAAGTGATAAAGGTGGGCTGCAAACATACATACATAGTAGCTATCGGATGCAACTGAAATGGTGTCGAGCCATATTTACAAAGAAGCGATTATTAAATTTTTATTGCAAAAATTCATTAAATGGTTATAGTGGAATTTTATTTGCAAATCACTTAACGACATTTTTTACATGGAAGCAATTGTTTTTATTGCATAAATTATGGAACGGTCTGAAAAAAGTAACCCCCATAAAGCTGTAAATGGCGGCTAGTAAAAGCGAAACGGAAGTGAAATATTAAATAAATTCAATCGTTGAATATTTATTGGAATTATCAGTGGTTAACTGCCGGATATTGCCACCTAAGTAAGTTATAGTGGCAAAAAGTTAGAAAACACAAGAGCGCAAGCTCAGGCAGAAAAACCTGTCAACGCGGACAGTCATCTACGGTCAGTGTGAATTGTGGAAAAGCGTTTACTGGCGGCAATCGAGTTGGCGGCGACTGAGTTGGCATAGAAATCGCAAATTATGAAGTAAGCGCAATAAAAAATGCACTTAAATTTGAATATGAAAGAAACCTCAAGGGAAAGAAGGTGTGAAACATTTGTGAAAAGTGATAAAATAAACAAATATAATACGAGTATAACGGTAAAGTGTGAGCACTCATGTTAAAAAAAAATGCAGCTCAACAAACTTCACGCTATAATCGCATATTTCCATAGTCTGCCCTCATGCACGCCTTCACGGATACTATGTATGTAATTATACCGCCAGCGCAATAAACTTCACAAAATGGAATTTTAAATTTAAATTAACACAAATCGAACAGATAGTTTGTTAATGTCATGCTTAAATCAACCAATTACCAGATCATTACATGGCCGTGATCATATTTCAAGCGTGTATTATGTAAAAACTTTGTACGCATATATGTACGTATCTACATTGGCTGTGTATGTGTGTGCGCGCCCATGCAGGCTGATAATTCAATTCCAAATTAATTACTGCAAATTATAGCCATTCGCACCGAGGTAGCAGCAGCCAACTACTGTAGCGGTTGCACAAAAATTTGCTATAATTGAAAAAATAACCAATTATTGCCGCAATTTTACTGTATAGCGTACGCTGTAAGCACAATGAAATGGTGCGTTAGCAGTTGTAGCGGTTGTGATTTCTATTTCGCGTAAATTGCAGGGAAATTAAGCAAAACACCCACTTAGACGATCAGATCAGCTAGCAAAGCGCTTTAAGAGCATATGAACACTGATGCATACATATTACAGAAACAGATGTGTGTACAGCCTTAAACATAAACGTATGTGGGCCGTTTTCTCATCTAACCTTTAGTTTACCGGCCACTTTATCGTCCCGATATACGAGTTTTCGTTTTCTCATCAGCGCATTAAATTCTCGAATCGATAAACTGTTGCTCACCCGATGCAACCTTTAAAATTTGTACCCAACTTTAAATTTTGGTTTGGTTTTGGTTCATGAGCCAGCTATATTAGATATTTCCACCCAAGGTTTTGGTTTTTGCTAACAGTTGCTCTTGCTCTATATTTGCTTATGTTGCATTGCCAACCTTTGAAATTATATGACGAATGTAGTGAAGTTTCACTCTCGGAACTGTAGTGAAGTTTCACTCTACGAAATAACAAATTTATTTTTACTGGTAAGATAAGAAAATTAAAACACTTTAAAGTGAGGAACAATTTATCTGCCCTGTTAGTAAAGGCAACTTTACTGCTTACATTAGAAAATGGCCCTGTATAAGTTAACATAAACTACCGTCGAAGTTGGCCACAAAGACTGCCCACAAAAGCGTAATAATACTTATTTGTGCATGTAAATATGTATATATTTATTTACTATATAAGTATGTATGTATATACATTGTACAATACATACACACATAGTTATTTATGCACATATCTATCTACATACATACATACATATGTATATATGTATGCACGTACTTGCAATGAACGCCCTCCGATGGTTTGTTGCCACAAACTTTTTGTCGTATCCGCTACGCGGTTAACGGTACGATTTGGTAATTTTTGGAATTTGCGCGCGCCTACTTCCTATTCCCCTGTCCTATGCCACTACATCGCACTTCACATGCCAACACACACACATGCATGCATATATGCTCTCTAGTCTGTGTTTGTGGGAGTATGCATGTGCGTGCCGACCCGCATCTCTTACCACATCCGCTATTCGTGTACATAATAAATTAAATGCTACATTTCATAATAAAATTAAAAACGCAAAAAGAAAGCAAAAAGGCTATTTATTATTAGGTACATATAAATGCGCAAGACTCATAAAAAACATAATGAGTGTAACAAAATTTATTGTACAAATAGTGTAAGAAATAAAAATATACATATACATACATATGTATGTATACAAAACCGGCACTCAGTGACTAGTCGAAGCAAATTATGATTTATGAGTTTAAAGCTCAAGCGCGGGCGCTCACATCAAGTACACACAATCTGGTTTTCGTTTAATGCGCGGGCAACGGTAATGCTAGCGATTTATGTATGTAGATGTCGGTAATGTAGATGGCGGCAAGCAAACGTGTCCAAGGCATTAGGCAAGAGCGAACTAGTGGAATAGCGAAAACGAAACACTAAATGCCTAGTCAACAAACAGATTTGGCGGCCTGTGCTGCCAGAGGCTACTTTTAGAAAAGTTTATTAACATAATTTGTCTAAGAGCTCATGTATGTAAATATCTAAGAATATACGAGTATGCAATTTTAAGGCGTAAAGCGTTTTGAAGTTCAGTTAAGTTAAAGGCTTTTCCCTGCCGAAATTGGACTAATAATATATATATCTGGCAAGGATAGGTTTCCTCTTGCTATTAAACTTTTTCTAGTAACCAATTGAATGTCGTTGTAATGCAGGTCCACTTAATGCAATTCAAGTGCATAGGATGCCTAGACGCTCTTCCAGGTTATCTACTACTATGTATACTATATTACATCTATACTCTCTCTTGTGAAAAAAACTTTTCAAAAGAATCCTAGAGACCATGAATGGAAATGTGATATAGTACAACGTTGAGAGCTAATGGTTATATTTACTGGTGATTCCGGTATTAACTATGTACATACATATGTATTCAGTAAATAGTGGCATTCGGCAGAAGTGGAGAAGGACTTTGCTTCACTTAGAATTTCCAATTGTCGTCAGTTGTCGCAGAAGAGAAACGACAGGCGTGCTTTGTTGAATTCGGCCAATATCGTTTAGGCGGTTACAGCGCCAAATAAGAAGAAGAGAAAAACTTAATAATAAAAAGTCGGACAGTTCATTGACTGAGAAGGTTTGAAATAAATTTATTGGGACCGAAGTGGAGATACCAGGTACCTTTGTGAAACCATCCATGCGTATGTTCATTTTACAAAAACACACGCTATAGAAATATTTTCTGACTTCGATATGAAGTGCAACGTCCTGAGCCATTGGTATTTTGACGGACATCCAAGCGTCTATTACGGATATCAGATATCTTCAGGTATAGCCATAACTGGTGTTGACATGCCTTAATAAACCGAGTTCTCTTCGTCTAACCAATCGAATATGGGTTCTATGAAACACTGGTATTTAAGAAAATTAGATTGCCGAAAAACTTGAAAAGGAAGGAGCATAGCGATATAGGAAAAGTATTACGGTATACCTTGACTAAACAAAAGCAACAAGCTATACAATGTATGTGCCATGTTCGGGTTTTCTGGACTTCGGGGCACTTTGAAGGAAAATGGATAGGCGAAAAGGGAGCCAAAGTGAGGCATAGGAAAGGTAGTATCGTCTACCCTGACCAAGCAAGAAGAAGATGCTCAGATAAATCTCTTATGGCATAATTACAAAGACTATGCATGTGATTGCAAAGAGCTCACAGGAACATATAACATTAAACACTTTAATTCATAAGCAAATGCAAGAATAACCTAATAATCATCACAAGACAGGACATTGCCAGCTTAAATATAATCCAACTAAAATAAGAAATTTGACCAATAAGATTCCGCAGAACGGGTAACGAAACTGCACGGTACAATTTAGAGCAAAGGGGATCATCTCTCAACCGAGAGCGCAGGGTAATCGAAAGCGCAATACTATAATTACACTTTAAATCTATGTATATAGAAGCAGAGTAGATCCGAAGCTCGCAGTGTTCTAGCCACAAACAATAATTATAATCAGGACTCGGAATCTCATACATTAAAAAATCGAAAATAACACCGCGCGACAGTAAATTTACCACAAAAAAAATGAATATATTGCCGAAATTATGGGTAAATTGTGGTAAAACTGCATACTTAGTTTTCCTGTCTGATGTCGGGATTTTTTTTAAGGACTTTGAAATTTAAAATTTATTTAAAAAATTCAGTGCAGTGTAGGATAAAAATTATAAAAGAATACATTTTTTGGAATGGGTATTGAAAATGTTCTTTACAAACTTTGCCCCTAAATATCCTTGAAAATTTGCAAAATATTTTTTTTGGAAAAATTATTGTTTGAGGACTAATATACGCACGAACTCATCATCGAATTTCGTCCTGCAAACTTTTGTAACTTAAAAAGATAAAATTGATTAAAAGCGCATTTTCAATACCTATTCGTTCTTGTAAACCAAGAAACTTGATCGTTTTTAAATTCTACAGAATCTTCTCTCTCATTTGGTACCCATATTGTCATTCTACATTGCAATGATTTTTTTAAATATTTTTTTTAATTAATCATATCTTTGAAATTTCAAAGTCCTTTGAAAAAAAATCCTTACGCCAGAGTGAAAAACTAAAAACGCAGTTTTACTATATTTGGCCCATAGTTTTGTGAGTATATCGATTCTTTTGAGTGTTTTGCATTTTTTTTTTGTTTTTGTCGCAGGGTGTAATATGCAATCAAAATTCAAAAATATGGGCTTTAAACAAGTAAAATATATATGCAGTAAAAAAGATTTTCCTAACATTTTATTGCCTGTACAAAAATAAATAACAAATGCGTTTTAACATATTTAAGTATTTATTTATAATCAAGCAGTCAGTTACAATCTTGTGTAAATAGAAACATGGACAGTTTAATAGTTTGAGAAAGTTTGGCGGCTTTAATGAATTTCAATACGTCATAGAGAGAGAATCAGCTTCACTCAAAAACACTGCAGGAATGGTTTTCAGAGTGTCTTTAGCCTTATCCTTGCGAGGGCTGGACAGTCGAACAGGAAGTGTTCGACCGTCTCTTTTAAGTCGGTCATCGCAACTGCGACAGAACCTGTTGAAGGGCAATCCAATCATTTCTGCATGTACCCCGACGGGCCAGTACACTGTGCACACTGCAGTAAGTTTGTAGGTATCTTCTTTGCTAATTCCTAAGAGAACTTTGGTTTAAATGGGTTGTAGGACACCCTTAACTACCAGGTAATCCTGTACGATCCTGTATGGTTCCACCTCTGCTTGGCCTTCGAGTGATAAATTTCGGTAATTGTTGCTTTTATCTTCCTGAGCGAGGCGCCCATGTCCACGGCGTGAAACACATTCAGTACGGAGCCGCACCTTGCTAGTTCGTCCGCTGCCTCGTTGATATAAATGTCCCTATGTCCCAGGACCCATATTTGGGTAATTTCGTATTAATCAGATATATAGGCCGCTTCTTTCCACTAGTTGAGATCTAACAGAGGTAGAAGAGAGTGCCTCATCGGCAATTTTTTTGTGAAGGGAAATTTATGTGTCAAGAGATTTCGCACTAAATTTAAATGGTTGTAATCATAAAAAGTAAAAATATGCAAAAACTATATGCGTTTATTGTATTTTTTGCAAAATCATGAATTTACTGTAAAGTATCCACTAACGGTTGAATGCCATTTTAAAGGAAATTTCATGATTCGTAGAGAAAACTTAACCATTTGAAGATGTACAATAAAAACATGCATTTGCATGAGATGTCGAGTCCTAATAATAATAAAACAGTACAATGAAGCAGGCCATTCTGTGGGCAAACATCATATATGATCAAGGCTTTCCCCGGGAAAAGCTTTTAAAAGATTTCTATGGATTCTATATCGTTACTGCGCACCTCATTGACCGGGTCCAGTGACTTTTGTATAGACCACTGATGCTCTTTTAAGCTTCTTTTACATTTTGTATTGGCGCGTGCGTATTAATGCTCTCTCTGCCCATCGATGGTATAGACGCATGCAGAGTAAATGCTCTCTCCGATCATCACTGCCCTGCAGAGCGAACTATTACAAAAAGCAAGGAGCGATTTTTATTGAAGAACCAAACAGAATAGTCCATGAAATCTTATTGTGGGACAAAAAGATAATATCGTAAAGTCGATTAAAAACGATCTAATAGCCAGCCATAACCTATGGGTATATGTATTATCAAGTTGGGACAAGTAAGCGACTATTTTTGGTGCTGCTTATGAGCCCAGGAAGACTATCTCTGCAACTATTCCATCTAGGAAAACGAAGAACTAATAATGCAACAAAAATTCAAAAACAGTCACAACTTTATCCGATTTTTAAAGCAATCACAAGCCGTTAGCGACTTCATTAACTTCCATTTGACTGTGAACAAACGAGGCTGTTGAGAACCAGTTGGCGTTTTGGAATGACTGATAGATAGTTGAAATGTTTGCCCACATACGTCAAAATCGTCAACACCTCGGCCAAAAAAACTGATTAACTAATTAATGACAGGGCCTCATATAGCCGCATCCATTGCCTCACCCCTCTTTGAATCATGGAAGAATAAACCTTTTAAAGCTATATTTCTAGCTTTCGTAGATTCCAGAAGTAAAGAACAAGAACCTGGTGTGCATACACGATTGAGAGAATACAAAGGGTGCGCCGACCGCTATTCCTCTCTTAACGAATTTGACAGAATCGTCAAGAATGATAGAATACGAGATTGTACATTCCTGCGGGTGATGACGTCAACATAGCATACGCCGGCGCTCTCCTTCCATTAGAAGCATTCGCCTCAATGTTATCCTACAAATGAATACCCTTACATTAAAAACTGAGTCCTAATGGCTTATATCTTTCAGAACAATCTCTTTCAAACTAAAAAATGCATTGGTACGCAACTCGGAAAACATTTTTTTTTGCATAGGATTGTCACAGCCCTTCAACTGGAGAACTTCGCGGGTATGATTCTGTACGAACTGGGTTCTTCAGGCACGCATATTATATATTTGCTTTCTTCTTTTTCTCTTACGCGAGCGTTGGCCCTACACATACATACATACATATCTCGTAATTTTAAGCTTCTTTCAAAAGCAATTCTTATGTGCGCAATTGTGAATTTGTTTTGCTTCGTGTTAAGCAACAACAAAACCTCAACTGAAAACGAAGAGCTTCAACAGAAATCATCACAACAACAAATTATAATTTATTGCTCAATTAGTGCAAATAGCAGTGAAGCAACCGAGCAGCAGCCAATGCCGTCGACATCGTCATAGTTGCGATGAAAAAAGGGCAAACGTATGTAGTAGCAATTAATAAATAAAACAAACTACAACAACTACTGCAATTAAATTGTAATAAAGCCACAAAGAATCAAACAAAAAACATTGATCGTGACGAATACATTGTGCAACTTGTGCAAACTTAATGAAAATTCATATAAATTAATAAAGCGAACAAGCGCACCGCCTTCGTTTTTCGCACACACATCGCAGTGGTGCAGTCATAAAACTTTACACACTCACAGATTTATACTAATAAATACAATTTTAACTTATTTTTTTCAGGTTCTGTGTAAGCAGCAAAGATGTGAAATAAAAAACCGCAAATAAAAACATAATAAACAACACCGCCTATAACAAGAAAAATTGTATGGTGCAGTCTTGTGTAAAAAATATTTACAATTAAACAACAGAAAAAAGGTGAAATAATTACATTGCAATCGGTAACTAAAACACATTAATCAACAGCAGCAGCAGCAAAAAACCGTTACTGTAAATTTGTTGCAAACAACACGAAGCGCACAATAAAAGCGTATTGAATTTACAACGCATGCGCCACCATCAACACTCTATCAAAATGCAGCAACCCTTGCAGCTTGACAGGTACACTTGAAAAAGTAAGAGCACTAACTGCTGATATAGTGAATAAAGTGAATAAAAAATAAAATCGCCAAACAATAGCCAAGCGCACCAAACGACGTTGCACGCATACACGTGTCTTCATTGCACGCATGCGCAAGTTTTGGCACTCGCTCTCATTCTCTCGTTCTTCTGCACATCGTTAATAGCAGTGTATTTTTTTCAGTGGTCTATCGTAGGAGCAGAGTTGCCACACAGATTTTCAACGCTGACACGCTTAGTTAAAACATTGGATACCGGCTGAATATCTTTTGCTTCGTCCAGAGCTTGCAACCAAAGCCTTCAAAGTGGATTTAACAAATTATAATAAATTGCTGCAGTCCAGCAATCACTATTTGCGGCCAGATTACCTGGCCGCACCGAATGTGGTAAGTCCATAAAATGCATTGAAATTCACAAGTTTTTGGACTGAATGGGTTAAGAATCGCTTTCGGTTTATTTATGGTGCTAATAATAATGCATCCATAAAAAGTTCGAATATTCGTATCTATATTCGTATATCTCTGGAACTTTTATTCTTTAATACTTTGACAAATTTCACCTTACTCTTTGAACCTTGAAGCATAATTGAAAAATATGCAGATAATGTAAAAAAAAGTATATTTGTGTAGATAATAAAAGAAATTTTAACCAAAATTGATTGAATCAGCAAAAGTGTAATAATGCACTGTGCAACAAAAAGAGAGGGGAAAAACAAACGAATGTGGTATAGCAATTATTAAAGAGGAAGGCCTCCAGAATGCCTTTTAACGATTTTTTTTTAGTCCAGTGTAAATGATTAAGGCCTGTATTCAGCTCTCAAGAAAAGCCAAAACTCCTTATAAAATGACGTACAAGAAATGGCTAAAAATTTTCTTGAGTCAAATTTCTTTAATGCAGTACGCAGTTCTTAAAAAATTCGGTACGCTTTCTGCTACGGTTTTCTAAAATTTTTTTTGTGAAAAAAGAGCACAAGGCGACCCATGCTTGCAACAGAAATATATGCCCGTTTCATGATTTCTTGAGGAAAGAGCGAGGAAACAGGCTGGTGAAGTATCAGTTGTCGAAATTCCTTGGACACACACACACGAAATAAAGGCAATTTTTTTGTTGACCCTTTTCTTGAGAGCTGCAACCGGTCTTTAAAATATTGACCTTTAAACTTTAATTGCGCACTTACTAATTTATGAACACATTATACAAGTGTAGAGTAATACCTTACTAAAATAAAACACCATCCACTTAACGATAAGTAAGTTGGGGTATTCACAACGGTGTCGCAAGTGTCATATTGTTGTATGTCGTAAACTTTCAATGCCTGAAAATATTTTAAGTGGGTTCCCAAGGTACCATAAAAGTCATATTATGCATTTTCGCAGTGTTAAAAAATAGTTGGTGGTGGTTTCAAGTTCTCTAAACATTTATTTAAGCTTTTAAAAATTACGACATACAACAATACGACACTTACGATACCCTCAAGAGTTTGCTCTCACGTACTAAATTTCGAATGCAAATAACTCGGGTTCTGAAAAAGGCGCACATTAAATTCTGGCGTCATTTTCAAGAGTATAGCTCAACAAACAAAAATCGGATAATACTGCCAGAGCCCAGAACAGTCAGGAAGTTTTCCTCATAAAACGTGCCTGTCACAAAATATCCGCCTTATCATGGAAATGTTATTGAGAAAACTGACCTTGGTTTTGGATTCAGAGACCTCAAAAGTAGGACTCGTCAAGGTTCTGGAACTTTTTGTGAATATGGTTTTGTGGAGTTGTGTCATCTGGTTCCAAATACATTCGGTAAAAGAAATGTAGCGTGTAAAAAAAAATTTAATCTGGACATTGACTTACTAGTGTTTTAGATACTTTTGGGATTACAAAGATCAGATCGGAAATACCTAACAGATATAGCGATTTTGGCCATATACATACCTAAGAATGTATGCATTATCACTAAAATCAAAAGTTCCAGAGATGTGCCCGCATGCGTTCGGATAATTGTGTATATGGATAAAATTCGGATATCGGTTAGTATCCGTTCCTTTTTTTATCTGTCTATCCGGTTAGTTCCACTCATTTGGTTATGGGAGCATGGATGTTTTAACAGTACTTGAACTGATTCGTAAAATGCACTCTAAAAAATTTTTGTTCAAATTTGCGCATAAAAAGACCAGTAACCAGTTTCCTCTCTTAATCAATATTTATAGAAAAAAATTTCTTTTCCATTTCTTGTGCGTCTTTTTGTAAGAATTTTTCTTTTTTCTTGAGAGCTCTTTAAAGTTTAACTGCGAATGAAAACATTGTCCTAAAAATAAAATAAAATAAAAAGTCACTTACTGTTGATTTTTACACTTTACAGCCTAAAAAAGTTTACCACTGAATGTACTTAATAAGCATTCGAGGATTTAATTTGCTAACTTCGAATTCGTGCCACCAAAATTAGCTACATGATAAAAATACAAGTTCAGTTAAATTTTCGTTATTCGAAGTATTAAAAAATGAGAAACCAGAAATCGACGAAAATGAATAAAACTATGTAAAAATTTCGTGAAATTAATCAATTTATTTATATTAAAATTCTTTTGTAAAATTTTGTATTACTTTTGAAAGTTGAGTGCATCTTTAACCGTTAATTTTTTCTTGATTTAATAATCGGATCTAAACCAAATTACGGGACGACACTTAACTTCCGGTAAAAAAAGAATTATTGGAATCGGTTCCCGCGGTGCAAAGTTATGCGGTGGAATAAATAAAAGGAGTAAAAATACTCCGAAGAATTGATGACCTTCCCTTTTTTGAAGCCGGTTGAAAATTTCTGAGTTCTTTGTAAATTTTATGTNCCCTTTTTTGAAGCCGGTTGAAAATGTCTGAGTTCTTTGTAAATTTTATGTAAATAAAATGCAATTTATGAAACTTTAAAAAGTTTATTTATTTATTTCATACTGTACATAAAACTTGCATAAATGTATTTTAAAGAGCGAATTTTCAGTATTTTCTGATGATATATATTTAGAAGTATAAATCCTTCCTTTTTTTATGTATGTTACTGCATAACTTTGGACCACTTTAACCGATTTCAATAGCTATTTTTAAAAAGGAAAGGTGTTACCTCACAGGTGGTCCCATACTAATTTGGTTTAAATCCGATCATTGCATCATGAAGAAATTAACGATACTCTCAAATTTGTATGTGAGAATTCAAGTCGGTTTTGATTTTTGCTTAAACATTCTTCTTCTTCTTCTCTTCTTCTTCTTTTTTGGCGCTGTAACCGCCTAAGCGATTTTGGCCGAGTTCAGCAAAGCACGCCAGTCGTTTCTCCTCTGTGCCAACTGACGCCAATTGGAAACGCCAAGTGAAGCCAAGTCCTTCTCCACCTGATCTTTCCATCGCAGTGGGGGCCTCCCTCTTCCTCTGCTACCACCAGCGGGTTCCGAGTTGAATACTTTCAGAGCTGGAGCGTCGGTGTCCATTCGAACGACATGACCAAGCCAGCGGAGCCGCTGTATTTTAATTCGCTGCACTATGTCCATATCGTTGTAAAGCTCATACAGCTCATCGTTCCATCGTCTGCGGTACTCGCCGTCGCCAACGCGTAAAGGCCCGTAAATCTTCCGCAAAATCTTTCTCTCAAACACTCCAAGAGCCGCCTCATCGGATGTTGTCATTGTCCATGCTTCTGCGCCATATACCAGCACGGGCATGATGAGTGACTTATAGAGCGTGGTTTTCGTACGTCGAGAGAGGACTTTACTCCTGAATTGCCTACTCAGTCCAAAGTAGCACTTGTTGGCAAGAGTGATTCTACGTTGGATTTCAATTCTGACATTATTATCGGTGTTAATGCTGGTTCCCAAGTAAACGAAATTCTCTACTTTCTCGAAATTGTAACTGTCAACAGTGACGTGGGTGCCAAGGCGCGAATGTGCTGACTGTTTGTTTGATGACAGGAGATACTTCGTCTTGTCCTCGTTTACCACCAGACCCATTCGCTTTGCTTCCCTATCCAACTTGGAAAAGGCAGAACAGACTTCGCGGTTTTTGTTAGCGATGATGTCGATGTCATCGGCATAAGCCAGCAATTGCACGCTCTTATAGTAAATTGTTCCTGAGCGGTTCAGTTCTGCAGCTCTTATTATCTTCTCCAACATCAGATTAAAGAAGTCACATGAAATGCTTAAACATTACTTGTTTTATTTGTTAATTTTTAGATTCGAGTATCCGGATGTTCGTATTTTTTGTTCAGGTATTCAAATATCTTGATTATCTGGTTTATAAAACATCCAGATAGCATCCCAGCCCTTCATTCGAATTGACGTAAGAAAACATAATGCGCTATAAAGAATGCTCCTATATAATGCACTTCTTGTATAAAAAAGGCTGATGAACAGCTTTTAAATTGCCCAAGGTGGTTATTTTTGACCTTGTCATCTGATTTCACAGTTAAATTTGATTAGTGTGGACGAAACCATACCTGTCTGTAATTTTTTCATAACCTCAAAGGCTTATTTAAGAGGACTGTGGGCTAGTAAAATTTTATCACTATATATGTTTATGTTCATAGGTGTATCGTCAACTTCTAAGTAAAGAAAGGTATCATTCCAGATAATATAAATAATAAAAAAATTTATTGGGGGTAGTCTTCAATATTAAGCTACTGTGGAACCGCAATGTGTAGGAAAGAGTGAGAAATACCAGTAATCGGCCCTCTATACTTGCAAAATATTGCTGGTAGTTACTTGGGGTCTGTCGCCTGCCTTAATGTATTGTACAGGGCAATAGTCAGACCCTTACTAATCTATGGCGCTTTGGTGTAGTAGAATGCCGCATAAAAGTTTTCATAACTCCGGTCAATGGAGAAATTTGATAACCGCGTGCCACTGTGCATCATGGAAGCTCTGCTCTAGAAAGAATAAATGTAAGCCCCCAATTTGACACCTTGCTTTAATTGAGAATGAAGGTTTCGCATGCGGATTAGAATGAAGCCCAACCGCATCTTAGGGGCAGTGCAGCATATTTTAAGTGTAGGTTTTCGCTATGAGCATAATAGAAGAGCTAGCCTACACGGGAACAAAATAACTAAAGCTATCTACGAAGGATAGCAGAGTTGCTACCTTATTGCTTACGGGCCGTGGATGCTCATGTACAAATAATGGGTATCACTACCGTGAACAAGTGGAGGAAGTGTCGTGAGCGGGAGACCATGGAAACCTTAGAGCATCTTTTAGCCGATGTCCCGCACTGTCAAAAATACGACTAAAATGCTTTGGAGTTCATTAATTGGAGGAGTTAGCAGACACCTAAAATAACGAGCTGGCAGCGTAAATGACCTACCGGTCAATGCTCAAGGCCGACCAGATTCACGCAACCTAGCCTTCCGGTCCAATAAGGATTTTCAAATTAAGAATCAAGGGCAAACTTTGTAAAATTATACTTTTTTCGCCACCCAGCCTTTTTCAGAGAGTGTTACGTCAGCAAGATTAATTACAACAGGCACATTCCCAGGGGAGGGGAGCCAAAACATAGTTACGTGGGGACCAAACAGAGTTACGTCGATCCATTTTCTACTAAAAATCATGTTTAATAAAAGCGTTAACGGAAATCCTTTGCACAAAAACCAAGATATGTACATATATCCGCTAAAAAGGTCAACCGGCCACTAAGTAAAATTGAAACAGCCATGGAAAACAAGTTGCGCTCTGGAAGCAGATGGTGCTTTTGATAAATCGGAAGACTATAATAGTAACGGCGTCCAATGCAAGGGGTTTATCTTTATTCCATGTCGCTAGGTAGCTGGCGTCATTGAATTTAATCTAGTACCATGAGTCTAGGATATATTTACTCTCGAGCTAGAAAAATCCAAATATACAAGAACACAAGATGCACTTATCCAAAAGAGTCAAATATGTGGGAGTTTGATAGTAAGCTCCCATGGAATCGGCAACGAAGAGAAGTAAGCTATTCACAGGGCCAGGATCTCCATTTAGACCTACCGTAAAGTAATGATGAGGAACTGGGGTATCGGGCCCTAATTGACAGGGCTAATGACAACCTATTAGCCTAGCTCCTCTGGTGTAGGGAAACATAAATAGAACCTACTCAGGCCAAGCTCAGCAAACTCCAACGTCATGCCTACATACACTCAGAGAAAAATGGCATTTTAAAAATAAAAATAAAATTTTTATTTTTCTTATGCACGTTTTAAATGAGGCCATTTTCATTTTAAAAATGAAAAATTTTAAAACAAAGTAAAATATTTTTAAATTTAAAATGTAATTTTTAGAATAAAAATGCATCTTAGATTTTAAAATGTTTCATATTTGATTTAAGAATGCTGCGTTTTGAATTTTAATACGCACATATTTGTTTTAAAAATGTCATGAGTTTACAACTTTCAATACTTAAATCAAAAATGAAAAGCTTCACTTCCAATAGAAACGTTTTTATTTTAAACATGCTCATAATTAAATGTATGATCACGCTCATGCATGTGCAAGAAGAAGCATTTGGCTGAGTTCAGTTATTCTTGTTTGCTGTCGGTTCGGACCGAAAAAGTAATTTCGTGTATTTCCTTTGATATTTTGTGAACAAAATGAATAACTCGTTGCAAAGTGGAGATTATATTTATAATTTCGATAACGTTGAATCAGAAGAAGTGTGTGAAAATTTAGAAGGAGTGGTTGTTGCTACCACACCAGTTGTTGACAATGACGATGAGGAGAAGATGGTCGAGCTGCTAAAAGAATTCGAAATGGAGAATGTTTTGCCATTCCTAAAAGGTGAGAAATGACTTAATAAATTAATATTTTAATCAACTTAATTAATTCTCTATTATTATATCCGACCGCGATCTGCAGCTTCGCAGATAACTTTTAGAAGCCTTAAATTTCTTAGAGGTGCTGACCTAAAGGAAGCCATTCCGCCGCTGGGTCTACGTGTGGAGTTTAGAGAGAAATTATTCATGTGGAAGAAGAAAGAGGTATGTATATGTTATAAAACAAACTGTTTTAGGTCTCATAGTTTATTTTGCACATACATAGTTCGGAATAGATGATGAAACCATTTCAATGCCAAGCAAAGTAACTGAATGGTTACAAAAAACAACTTTATGCCATCAAGTCAGTCATCTTCTTCGCCCCACTGTCTCAGTAAAGTAATTTCAATTAATTTTATTTTAAACTAAATTACATTATAATTATGTAAATATTACTTGAACAAGCATTTACCGAGTTTACTTTAACAAACGTGCAAGGGGAAACTAATCTTGCAATCCTACAAAAAGAATCAACATTTGACCAACGGGAACCGGGACGACCTCATAAGCATTGTCATTGACGAAGTTATTGCAAATGACATTATACTAAGAGGGAATGATTTTGTGAATTTGCTAGAGCAGATAATAAATCTCTTTCCAAACGAAAAGGGTGCCCGGGTAATCTATTTATTATGAAATTGTTAAAATTGTTAAAAAATTCCTATGAAGTTGGCTTGAAAGTAGACGTATTGAATGTTATACATATTTCTAAGTTTACAAGTCAACCGTTGCTTTTATATTCTATAAATAATGGAAAAATATACGCAAAACCAAAATCTCTGTAAATATTGTATTTATCATGTATTTATTTTGTAACAAAATAATAGACATTCGGCATTTTGACCAGTTTTGACTAATCTGTTTTTTGACTAATATTTATTTATTTTTTTATAAAGGCTCATCCATAACGAAAACCATATAAATCCGAATTTAAACTTTGTACAAAAATTAGGAAAATTCAACAAAAACTCTTTAAAATTTTAAGCTTTTTAATAAGAGTTGCCAAAAAGACTTTTAGTATGCTAAATTTTAATACAATATATGCTAGCCTGAATTTGCTTAAAAACACCAATGATTTTTGATAATCTTTTTTACGGTGTTGTGCATTTTTTTCCGTGAGAAAAAAGATTATCAAAAATCAACGGAATTTTTCAGCAAATTCAGGCTAGCACATATTATATTAAAATTTAAAAGGCTATAAAAATGCATGCTAAATCTTTTTCTGAAACTCTTATTAAAAAGTTGCAAATTTTCCTGAATTTTGTAAAAAGTTTTAAATTTGGATTTAAATGGCTTTTGCCATATGATTAGCTATAACTTTATAAAAAATAAATGAATATTACTCAAACAAAAGAATAATCAAAAGTGGTCAAAATGTCGAGTGTCTATTATTTTGACATAAGGAGGGCCGAAAATCCACTTTTTTTAGACTTTTAATGGTTAATAGCAAAAATCTGTGCGAAAGATGAACGGTTGCGGTCAATATCTTGGGTCGCACAATAAGAACTCTAGTAAAGCTGTTTTTCGGCCCACCCCATGTATATGACCGTTTTTATAGGATTATTTTAAGTTTTTATTTCTCATAATAGGTGTGTACCTACAAAATGTATACAAACACAAATTTGTACCTTGACTAATAATTTTTGTATGGCTTAAAAAAGGTGAATAAATAAAGAGTGGTGAATATAAAAAAACTAAAATGTTTCATTATTAAAACGAATACACACAGTTTTAATTTAACAATATAGGTATTTGATTTGATGTGAATCATATTTGAATTAAAAATGAATATTTTTAAATCAAGCACATTTGTTATTTGAATTAACAAAAATCAAGCTTAAATTAAAAATGAAAATTGTTATATTAAAAATGAAAGTTTTCGATTCAAAATTTTATAGTGTTTAAAATAACGATGAAAAATATTTAAATCAAATATGTTTTTACTTGATTTTACAATGTTATAACGCACATTTTTAAAGTAAAAATTTTCATATTTACGTCACTTTTAAATATGTTTTTGCTTCGTTTAAGCACGTTTTTATTGATTTTACAATGTTTTTTCCCTGAGTGTAGGTATTACTAGTGCAATAAAAACCACACCCACGCTGTAATCAATAAACAGCCTCAACTATTAACAACGGGGCTCAGGGAGAATAATAAGCTTGTACAATCATTAAAGATCAGAGTTGTGGTTAGAACCAGGGGAAGAGCTACGCATTAGTTTCGTGGACCAACATATGTCTTCCGAGGTTTTACTTAGAACCAACCGGAGCAATGAACGACTAAAGCTATGTGGGAGGTCGTAGTCTTAAGGGCGCGAAAAACAATCTCATGCACATACATACACACAGACAACACGGTGTTGCTCCTAAATCAAGCGAAGTCATCTCAAAAAAGGTTTAGTATTGCATTGAGCTCTTTACACTTATGGGTTCGTGGTCACAGCGTCGTCAAAGTCAATTAATAAGCAAATATTCACGCAGAAAAAGCTGTACACCAAGATTCCTAGATCTACGAGCCTCGTCAAGCGAAATGTTTATATAAAGGCAGAAAACGCAACATTACTGCACAAATCACAGACAGCTAAATTCCTGATCCCATCCTTACTGGAGAGTATATGGTCCCGAAGTACTTGTCAAGGCTGGAAATTTATTGGCCTGATCGTTGCGGATTATGGTACGAAGGACAAGGGACAGGAAGCACCAGACCACGTCATATTCCATAGTGAAACCCATACCAGGCCCAGACTTTGCTAGATAGAAGCACTGTACCGGAGATGAACTCATAGCACCCCGCCATGGGAACTTCAGCGACACTTTGTATAAAGAAGAGTCGTAATAAAGATTTATTTATTGCAATATATTTTTCATGGCCACTTGGTGACTTGCTCCCTGCTTTAATAAATAATCTGACTGCGACTTTACACCTCAAAAAGCAACCGGATTCAGAAGGTCACACCTCTGTAGACCTACCTTTTTTAGTAGTGGAAAAATGTAAGTGCACAAACTAAGCATTCTCTCCCTTGGATGTGTAAGCAGTAGGAGGGCCAGCCAAAGGAGATCGAGAGCTACTAAAAATGTAAACAGGTTTTCAAGCCAACACCAAAGAGAAGTGGGCAAGTCTCACGATGTAGGGAGACAGAGGTGGCGCAATCAGCAGTACCGCTACTTTGTTCTTGGCGAATTTGACAGAATCTTGGGCAAGTCTAGCCCTTATCCCTTCAAGAAAAGGCCCAATGTTAACTATGGAGCCTTAAGTGTTGGTTGGGAGCTATCGAATCCGCATCCATCTCGCAAACGTGGGTAGGGTTCGATGAGTGTGCACGACTCCCGTCTCGATGTTTAAGTGATCTTCCATCACATATGTATTCCAATAAGTTTTATATCTGTTAAATTTTTAATTATCGAGACGCTCATCAGGCTCTCTTTCTAAAGTGTCTTCCCCTTTCTTCATAGGGCTTGAAACCGGTACAACTTACCTTTAGTTTCTATCCGTAAGTATGGGCTATTTATCATACTATACAGCGGCAGTGTATGATTTGGGTGTGTCTATGGACAAAATCGTAGAACTCTCGATGTGAATAAGATAAAAATATGGATTCGAAAGCTGAAATATGACCTATATCAGAAAAATAGTTCATTATATAATATTTATCTTCAACTCTAAAAAAATGAGGCTGAAATATTAATATTGCTTGCTACCTCCAATAAATAAAGTGTAATTTTTGTGGCTTCAAGGAGTTTTCTCGTAGATTTTCAACCGGGGAATTGTCAAAAGTACGAGTAGAATAGAAGCTCTTTTACACGCTTATTTCTTAGATAGTAATTTGTGTAGTGCGTTTTCGGATATGATTCCAGATTGTGCTGTTATGTATGATTTCCACGACTTTGATCTCAATTTTAAAGTTTGCGGATTAGGGTACGCGTTCATCATCCTGGATGTTATATTTCTCTTGGCTGATTTTTGATAAATATACTTATGTACATATATGTAACTATTATTCAGCATTCCCTAGTATAAAGAGCTTAGCTCCTCTTATTTACAAGCAAACATACAAAATTATATACTTACAGGTACCGGTGTACGCGCGTATTGCATGTTATGTATGTTAGTTCTATTATTTTCAGATATGTTCATTTTAAATTAAATGCATATAATTTTCTAATATTGTAATAAATAATTCAATCAGAATTTGATTGATTGAGAGGTCAGCTATAATTATTTGACCTGCATTTTATATTCATTCAGTCACGTAAACGTAATTTATTTATAGAAGTGATTTCTATATTTACTTAAAAAAGTTTTTACTGAGAATTTGGGCGGATTGTTACTTTGACGTCGACCTTAATTAGATGAATTTTAAGTAAACGACTAGTAAAATATATGTATATCGCTAGCTTGAAGTGAAAACTTGCCAAGTCCAGTTAGCAAATTTTACAGGAGCGCAGAAAAACTTCCCAAACTCATTTTCTTCAAATATTTTACAAAAGTGTGAGAGGACACATTTTTTCTTATACAACACAAAAACTAATTCCATACGAATTGGTAGAAATTGACGTTATGGAAATTTGTTGCATCCTTTTGAATTACTCAGATTTTCTGTGCGTGTAAATTAAGAAATTCGGTCACCCTGGAATCGCAGCGGCACTATATCTTGCAAAAGAACGATACTGCTGGCGTATGCAGATAATATCCACATCGTTGGCTTTATACTAAGGCCTTAAGAACGCAAGCGCAGCATTTTTCCGTTTAGAAAAAAAGCTGAAGAGGCTGGTCTAGCGGTGAATGAGGACAAAAAAGTGCCTTCAAGCAACATAAAACTCTGCGTGGACTCTGCCTCTCCGAGCACACAACACTGTTGCCCGCTATAAATTTGGAGTAATGAAGGACTTTGTCTACCTAGGCTCCAGCATAAATACCACAAACTACGTCGGCCTGTAGATCAAGCGAAGAATAACTCTTGCCAACAGGTGCTACCTTGGGCTCGGTAGGCAAATAAAAAGCAGCGCCCTCTCTCAACGAAACAAAATTACGCTCTACATGTCTCTTGTCATGCCCGTTCTTCTCACTATTTGGAGCAGAAAGGTGGACTTTGTCGAACAAAGATAAAGCTTTGGGTGCTTTCGAGGCAATCTACCTCCCTGATCGCTTGGACAACGGGTATCGGAGAAGGTAGAATGACGAATCGAATGAGCTTTTCAACGACATGGACATTGCGCCGGTTCGGACATGTTGTACGCTTGGATGACGACGCTCCGGTGAAAAGATCCTCGGAACCCATGTGCGGACAACGAAAACAAGGGCTCCCACGAACAAAATGGAAGGTCCAAGTGCGGAAGAACCTGTCTGCACCCTGAATGAGCAACTGGAAGAATAAGAAGTAATCGGCCTATTTGGAAACGGTATATTTTTATTTTTCCTTACTTCCTGTATCAAAATGATAGTTTTTTGTAGACTTAGCAACTTTTCACTCTAAGCTAGCGATATGTGTGTAAAGGTTGTTTTTATTTAGAGTTCCTACGCCATTATCAATTGGGCTCAGTTTCGTTTGCCATTGCATCATGGATAGACTGCGGATTTTTATGGAGAAAACGGAGCCTAAAAATATGTACCACTTAACTATAAACAAATTGTATACAAATTTATACACTTTTCTTTCAGTTAAGTGGTACATATTTCTAGGCTCCGTATTTTGCATAAAAATCCGCAGTCTAATCATGAATAGAAAAAAATTAGAACAACGTTGGAAAATTGTGGGAATTCATTTCGAAAATCATGGTGCAGTGGTGGGGCTAATTTTTGATTCAATTGACATGTCGGTATGAAAAATTGCCGCATCTGGAATGAAGAGTGTTCACTAAAGAGGACTGAGTATCTTCAATGTGGACACTAAGCCAACAATTGTTACGCCCAGAAGACAGGAAGTTATTGATCTTACCCTATCTAACTCTCAGTTAGGGTGGTAAGTCCTAAACTAGAGAGTCCTGAATGAAGATTTTTTCTCGGACCACAGATACATCGAGCTTCAACCTGGCGAGGACGATATTTTCTTTGCGCCTATTAGCAGGACATCCTTCATGCTTGCCTGCAAAGATTGGGGAAGGAGTTACGTGTGTGCAGTGACAGCCAAGTCGCACTTAAGGTATTTGCCAGCCCTCTAACTACTTCCAAACTAGTCTCGACTAAATTATGCTGTCAAACATAACGAGCTTGTTTTACTCTGGGTGTCAAGTCACTCGGGAGTACCTAGTAATGAGACATCTGACCAACTGGCTCAGACCAGGTGATCCTCGGTCCGCAACCAGTTATAGCACTCCCACCTTCGGCCATCGAAGCTCCCATCAGAAACTGGGTGAATCCTTCGCTCAGTAATGACTGGGATGCATCGAGGGGCTGCAGGTGGGCAAAACTAATGTAGTATGTAAGATTTTTTGTAATCATAGACTCAAATATCTATGTTTGCGATGTCTCGGTTAACATCGCGCATCACTAATCGGAATGCAGACGTAAAAGTGTGTTTCTAAAGCAACCAAAGTGAAATAAAAGAAAAAATCGCGTGGACGCAACGATGTGTGTCTACCAAATAGTTGAGGTCAAACTGTTGCATTATTATTTCATGCACATTTTCCCATTCGAAGGAAAGCTGAATCAGAAGGCCTGGAAACTCTGTCCATTCCATGCAAAATAGGAGCAATGAAATGAACACGGAAGGCGTATCGCTTCCAAAGGCTCCCAGAAGGCCTTTTATCTTCTAATGGTCCCCACTGGAATTAGGGTGGTCCAAAAATCTAAAAACCTTTTTTTGTAGAAATGGTATAGAATTCTTGAAATGAATATTTTTCGATCAGAAAACTTGACTTCTCTTCAGAAAACTTCCAATAATAATACTCAATTTTTTATTTTACCACTTTTTATAACTAGCGATTTTTTAAGGGTTCCCCATTGCAATTTGGGGCTTTTAAGGTTCCTATAAAAAATAGTTAATATTAAAAAATGGTTCAATAAATAATTAGGTATTATTACTGAAAGTCTTCTGAAAAGAAAGAAGTTTTTCGATCGAGAAATATTGATTTTCAAGAATTCTATACGATTTCTATGAAAAATTGTTTTTTCCTAAATAAAATACATGGAAAATTTTGAGCTCTTTGGGCGACCTCTAAATATGCATCAATTGAGGAAAAATCTAATATCGATTCTCGATTTTTTCGTATCTATTCACGGATCGAGTCGGAACTAAAAAATCGACAAGAAATCGAATCGGAAGGGCTCGATTATTCGATCTTCGATTCAATAAATTGTAAAGCGGCATTTCTAGTGCATACATATGCATACTTTTTTGTGTATACATTTTTTGTTCAGAAATATTTAATATTATTATTATTTATTATATATTAACAAAAAGTGAAACAATGAACTAAAATTTAAGTTTCTATTGACAAATAAAAAAACACTGGCGCCGCCGCGCTAGGATCGTTTTGTGTCTGAACAATTACAGTCGAC